TTTTCGCCAGAAAATGTAGATGTGTTGCCATCACAGGGCCCCCTCATGCCTAGACAGCAGAATACAAACCTCCGGTGGGCCAACCGAAGGGATCTCCGGTGGAGTGACTGCCTCTCCTTCATCGAGCAAATGCAGCTGGGATCAAGGAGAAGCAAGATACCTTGGGGGAATAACATCATTAAACGTAGGGGTCGGATCGTAACGTGGCTGGACTGCAAGCTATCATCGTGATCATCTGCAAGGATGTCGCCTCGGCCCAGAAGTCGGCTTCGTCGCAGCTGTGGAGTTGACACAGCCTCGTGTCTACAGAGACGTCTTGAGACTGGCTGGAGACTTCGTGCTTGATCAAATTGTCGTGGTCAGAGTCAGCAGTCTGCCTCTTTCGCATTACTTCATGTATTTATCGCGGTGGATCTTGTATCCCTTTGGCTCTCAAGCAACCCAGCCAGCTATCCAAGATGCGGTGAAGTTTGCCGCCGTTTCTTTTCGAATTTTGGTCTAGACTCAGCCGGAAAACAGCTCGAGCGGTAGTTTTCTCCGAAACTTCAGGCTTCGTGTATTACATCGAGGGTCAAGTTTTCCCATTCTCTCTCCACGCCTGTGCTTCAACAGTTTTGATCATACATCAATCAAGTCACTTACACGTTCGTCAAAGTTCCGTTAATCAAGCGAAATTAGCCACTGATCCATTCCATCGAACATCAAAAATAGTCGAAAAGACTCACAGAATACGAAGAGCTTATCAAGATGGATCCTTTCAACAAGTTGCCGGCCGAGCTTCGTGTGAAGGTACTGATATCAACCCAGTGCCCACTTACAATTTCACAGCTCATTCAGGCCTCACTTGTCATGCTCGGGCAATTTACTATATCGGAAGGAGAAATCACGAAGAAGCTACTGGCCTCAGAATTTGACGATGGCATGATGCAAGACGCCATGGCCATTATTCTCTTCCCTTCACGGTCTACTGCTGACTTTAAAGCCTAAGCCCGCCATCATGGCCTCTTTTGGGCAACGCAACAATTCACCAACCCCTTCAATCGGCCTCTAGAAAGTCAGAACCAGGGATTGATCAACCAAATCAGCAGGCTCCATCAAGAATTAATGTTTCATTAAGGACTATCTGACGAAAGCCACTGCGGTCTTCCCTCCGCGGGAGTATCTGTGTCTCTCATCTCGAATGGAACCCCGGTTGAGATTCAAAGGTCAGGCAGTCTGTTCTAGATTCAATGCCGCTAATCTTACGTGTCTAGAAAGAAAGCGACTCCTGCGAGCCTTTCTACAGTATATGCTCAATTCTATGATGATAGCAATATCAAAAAACTCTGTAAAGAGGCACTGTATCGATGCAGCGGTCGAAAATTCCAACAATGGGACCTAGAGGCAATTTTGTGTGTCAGCGAATATTTGAGATCTCTTTACGGGGCCATGTTCGCTCAGTGCAGCGATTCCTGACTACCGGAAGTAAAGCTAGGTTCTACTTCCTCTCAACGCCCCGGTCTACTTTACCCAGATAGCCTATGCGTCGACCTAGAGGCCTATGCCTCCGATATGGGCTACGAAAGTTATCTTCCATCGGAGTTATCGTTTTATGGTTTCAACCTCGCCACGATTCTGCTTCGATCTGCTAGAGCCGGACAGTCTGGACGGGACCGCCTCAAGAGATGGTTCGAAGATTTTTGTCAAATGAATGACCTTAGATGGGGAGACTCACACTATCTGCTACAAATTTATATCTCTCGTCATGAATTGAAAGAGCATGAGGCGAAAAAGCATGTAGCAGAAGATTATGACTCAGATGATTATGAAGAAGAAGCGAATGAAGCGGAGGAGGGTGAAGTGGAAGAGGACTCTCAAGATGGCCCAGGTATATACCAGATGCTTCACCCCCAGATGATTTTTCACTATGATACGCTCGCAACAACGTACGAACAAAGGGCATGGGTATTTCTGGACGACGCCAGATTCTATCCCTCGCTCTCGGCTAATGCAAGACCACATTTTCCAACCAAGGAGGAGGCTTTCGGTGAGCGCTTCAAAACTATACAAAAGGACGAGGATTACTGGGACCATCGTTGGCAGGCCAGAGCTCGGCACCGATCACAAAAGTGGCACAACGAGATGTCGCCAACGAAGACAAAGCCTGAAGACCATCAAGACTTAGAGCTGGAAGAAGAGTGCCAAATTTAACTGCCTTACATAGTAGATGGAATGTGTTGGGGGGATAATCTACGTCCGTTCTGGCAATGAGACAAGAGTTCAGCCTAGGGACTGGTAAACAGCCCTTATGGAGATCGATCACCATGAATTTGGCACCTAGTACGTAATAATCTCTTGGTAATTAAAGGTGATTTCGTAAAAGATAATATTACTATCCGGTCAAGACCTGCGCCTGTACATCGCCACCGATTGTAATAACGAATTAGCTCTCAGTCAGTTCTCAATATTTTATGCTGTTCCTTCTTAAATATTTAAGTTCAGGTAGTTCATCCAAGCACAAAATTGAGAAAGGCATTAGTATTTCTTTCTAAACAGAGAAGAAGAACCGAGCACCCTCATCATGTACTAACGCCATTGAGCACTCGATGTGTTAGGTAAACCGACATGGTATGACATCGGCGCATTTTTGGTCTCGCGTACCTTGGCTGCAGTCCGTATTGAGGGACGTTCGCTAGCTGGCTCCTCAATTCGCCAGTACTCGAAATACTTCAAGCATCCTCAGAGACATAAGCGCCAATCCCTAACAGTGTTGATTAGATTTTGCTGTACATGTTAATCATAATGCTCCGTCGAAGTGAAGCTACGAGTGGGAATATGAGCGCGGCGAAGCCGGGTGGGGTCGTATCAGGACACGAGGATACGAAAATACAGCGATTGGCTCCCATTGAGGCGCGCCCGTGTTTGAGTACGAAGCTACGCTTCTGGCCTGCTGCTTAAATATTGCAACTTGAGTACCATCATGAGCAATATCACCAAAAACTACTTCGACTACAATCTTTTATCAAATTCTCTACAGCGTCGATTTATTTCCGTCACTCCGATTCCGGAAAAGTCTACATTTTCCTCGAAACATTTCCACCATAGATCAAAGACCTCCTTGGCCCCTAACCTCCAGGTCTAGCTAGAATGGGTCTCGTTCATTTTGAGGATGGAAAAGTCCTCTTCTACCCGTACACGCCTTCAAAAGCCGCAGGTGTCATTTTCTTGTTTCTTTTTGCAGGTATCTCAGTCTACCATGTTTGGTTAATCCGTAAATATAAGACAAAATACTTCATGCCGATAGTACTCGGGGGACTATGTAAGTGTCGAAACATTTGCCTTCTCTTCTTACTACCCCTTTCAAGTTTCTAGCATCGATGAGACTACTTAGGAAACTGACACCAAACGAGTTCAAAAGGTGATACATTTGGACACTTGGGACGCGCCTGGGCAGGCTCAGCGCCTTTATCCCCTAAGCCATTCATGTTGCAGCTCATGCTCATTCTCGTTGCGCCTGTATTCATCTCCGCAACCATATACGTTAATCTCGGAAGACTCAAAGAGGCCTTGCTAGGCCATCATAGGCGGAAGTGCAGCTCTACCAGTATCTCCATTCTCACGGATATCATCGCCTTCTGCACACAAATCGGCGGCTCACTTGTACAAGTAATTGCAAACCCAAAGATCATGGAGATTGGAGGCCACGTTGTCCTGGGTGGTCTACTTTTCTAGCTCTTTGTTCTGGTCGTCTACTTTGCTCTCGTCCTGCGCTTTCAGCGGGCTACGCAGAGTGAATCAATTTATGTACAGCATTGGAGACGTTATGTTTGGACCCTGATTGTCTCGGTGGTGGCTATCTGGGTGCGAAATGTGGTGAGAGCGGCGGAATTTGCGGAGGGATGGTACGGGTTTGTTAATCAGCATGAAGCCATGATGTACATCTTCGACTCGTTCTTGATGTTCTCCGTCATGGTAGCATTCGCTGTCTTCCATCCCGGTCAACTAAACGATGCAGTAGGATCGGGAAAAAACAAGCAACGTATCAATTCTGAGCAGGTGGTGATGGGTCCTTTTGGGGATGTAGTCTAGCCGTTCGATGCATCCAAACAAATAGAACTCAGGCGATAGATAGCACTCGGCTGAAAAGCTGTCTTATCCCGGTGATCACAACTGCCTCGAGCGATGAACCAGACTTGGCCATGAAAATCTTGCCATCGTTAAGACCAAAGAGAGTGCCGGTTTCATCGCTGGCGTTTCAGCTGCTGCAACAGTAGTGGCTCGTACGATATCAGAGCCGTTGTTACACTTCAGCCAGCCCAAACTCTCCGGTTATAGGACTGATCGGCCGTGTCTCCGTAGCCAAAAGCTGCAGGCGGATGTTGTTTCATATTTGAGGTTATCGCCGTTGTGGCCCGCGAAGGGCTCGGGGCTGGGGCTGTTGCGGGGAAAGCCAGCGTCCGGCCTAGGCCGCTCAGCTGACTGCATGCGGCTAATCAGCTGGATTTCCAGCCAGCCATAAGTCAGTATACTGAAGATACCGTACTTTATCATCCTGGCTCTCAACGCAATCTACGTTCACGAGCAGGATGTTGACCCGTGTGGCGATACTTTCTTCAGCCGCAAACGCAAACAGCTCCTTCACTATCGACGCGTGAGCTTTGCTGCTCTCCGTGCTAGTTAAGTTAGGTGGGAGGCTTTGGCTCTCGCCCAGGACATGGCGCCTCATTCGAGTATTAAAAGATTCGGAAAGCTCATCATGACTAACAAGAGAACAAAACCGCATCACCCAAGATCAAGACCAACAACTCAACAAGCTCGAAAAGCCTCACAGGACTTCGTTGTACCTTCATCCGACACAGTTATTACTTTGCGACAGTTGCGCTTGCCCCGCAGGCAGTATTGTTGTCACACTGGATTCTCCTTCTGAGGATTGGTGTGTTCCTACTTATCAACGCGCCGCCCTCGCTATCGCTGAAGGCCGCACCAACCGCCTCGCCTCTGACTTGCCCGACCGCGTCGACATGGCTATTACGGAAGAGCCACAGAGGTACCCCTGCAAGACCCAGGAGAATCTGGATGCCGAGCTTCTGTCACCAGAGGTGGTCAAACAGGGCAAAAAGCCTGAAGGCACCCATGATGACGCTATCGTTGTCGGCGTGGGAACGCAAGTGCCTCGATGGGACGTGGTTAAGCAGGCCCCTTGCGTGCTGAGATACTTCGTCCGGAACGACACGTTCCCCTCGGAAAACTACGCGAAGAAAGCTAGTGAAGCATTCCAAAAGGCGGTGGTCAGATGGATGGAGATGGACTTTGGTGTCACCATCGAAGCCACGACCGACATCGCCAATGCGCATTTCGACCTGCGCTACTGGGATCCCCCGAATCCACGCGACAAGACGCTTGCACAAGCTTTCTTCCCCAATGAGAACGATCAGACTGTATGGGTTTACGACTCAGCCTTGAGCAACCCACAGAATGCCAAATATTTGGTCTCAATCTTCGCTCATGAAATTGGTCATATTCTTGGCCTTCGCCATGAGTTTGCCATCAAAGGCGACAAGAAGATTGGCAGAGCGCCTGAAGGGTTCGGCGCCACTCAATTTAAGGAGGAAAATTACGATTCTGTGATGGGTTACAACTTTCCACCGAGGATCCAAAAGACTGATATAGAGGGTATCAAGGCTTTCTATAAACTAGAGAACGGTACAAAGATTGGGGATTTACCGGTGACGGATTACCTGCCGACGATCATCAAAGCGGACGATTAACTTCGCGGCTAGGCATGGTTTATGCTATTGATCGAGGCCGTTTGTCATTCAACAACACAGTGATAGCTTTGTGGTTTCCTTTTTTGTTGTGTTCAAGGAATGTCTTTGGTTGCAATGGTTGGGAAATCGACGGGAACCCGTAATTCTGATTCATAGAAACACATTCACTACATGAAGCTAATCGGCTATACACTCAATCTGAACCCATAAGAGTCTCTCCTTACGCAAGTTCCACGCTAGTTGTCTTCGTGTCATTCTTTTTAAGGATACCAAGGCTTCTTCACGGTGCGGAGAATATCACGTACCCGGCCAAGGCGATGCTACTGCTGCTAGAAGTAGCCATTGGTCGAGACAACCCATCGCATCAAAGGCTCCAAGAAGGTAACGCCCTCTGAAGTGGCGTTTTCAGAACATGCTTTTGGTCTCTCCAGTAGATTGCTATCAGAATCCACACATCCAAACAGTCTTCATACTGGTCTACCATGGAGCCCGAGGGAACATGAAGGCGGGAAGAGGTAAGGGGGAAGATAATGTGAAGAGGAAGGATTGTCTGTGTATAGAACAATGATTTTATGAGTTAGGCCTCGACCAAGACCATCAGCTGAATACCCAACGGTATGAGCTAGTTCCGCTCGGTGTACCTCTAAGGGCCTCCTCGAAACCGTGAGTTCCCACATACGACCATACCCATTGGAAAACTCGGGATCCCGTCCGCTCTCCCATAGATAAGCCAATGAGGGCCGGATTAGTAGTTGAGTCGGTGACGATCAGCGAATACCTGGTGTTGTATGTTTTTTGTTGATAGTTTGCCAAAGCGATCCCAGTCTGCGGGTGGGTGACGAGGGCCAATTGCAAGAGCTGATTCCTGGCTGATGGTGTGAGTATTATTGAAAGCGATTCTGGTGGCACGTTCAAGGCTAGAAAATATTCTTTAAAGTCGGGAAAATTTAAAGCCGGGAAACTCCTATAAGGTCACTTAATGGTTTACGTGTTCGCTTACTCGACTGCAAGTTCGCATTCCCCTCGCCTAGCCAAATTTTTTGTTGACAAGGTGAAGTCACAAAACCTGATTCTGAATTAATACGTCCTCTTGCTTCACTGGTCTTACAAAACTTTTCCAGTTTGAGATGTCGTCTATTTATTAGGTATCCAAGTGCTGCGCTCACTTGTTGTGAAGTTACGCATGTTATCAGCATATATGAGAGCAAGATTGACATAACATCGACAAGAGCCGCAATTGAAAGTTTACCTGGCACGGGCCGTTCGTTCTATGAAATTAGATTGAGGAAATGACCTGAATATTGCAAGGAGGAATATTGTAAGAATGTGGCGTTTCATTACGCAACTTCCAGTCATCACTTTCTTAATTTCTATTCCCATGCTCCTTTTTACATGGAACTTCGTTTAGCAACATGAGACTCTGCCAATAAGACCAAAGAAAATCGAAGACTGAAGCCAATGATCTCACCAAAAACGCGGCTGTAGGCAAATGGGGCTCATGTAAGCTCATGAGGATCCTCATCTCATCTAGAAAGCCATCACGCCCTTTCCCTCAACCTAAACACAAGCGGCGTCTCCATATTTACCTGACTCTCCGTAGCAAACCATGTACACGGAGGCCGCGTCACCCCCGCCGGGTACCCGACATCATACCGCAACAGCAGCTCCGCCAAAAAGATCTTGAGCTCGTTGGCTACCAGGAATCTACCGGGGCAGGACCACTGCCCATGCCCGAACGAGGGAAATTCATTGCGCGTTGACGTGAACTGCCACTGGTTTTCCTGGCCCGGCTCCTGCCTCTTGCGTGCGAAGCGGAAGCCGTCAAAGACGTTTGGATTTTCGAATTGCGAGGCGTCGCGAAGCCCCTCGAGCGAGACCGCGAGGAGCGAGCCCTTGGGCAGTCGGGTGCCGTCTGAGAGAATGGTTGTTTGTTTAACATAGCGGTTCATCGCGGCTGCGTGGGGTTATGTGTAAGCGAACCAAGGTTCTTTTCTGGCGCGATTCATGGTACTGCTTTTCGGGGACTTCATACTCAGCTGAACGGGGTTCATCCGTTGCGTCTCCTTCAAGAAACTATCCATCAGTCTCATCTTATACAACGTCGTCTTCTTCCAGCCCCCGTCCTCGGTGAGCACCTTATCAATCTCTTCCCTCATCGGACTGATGCACTCAGGGTGAGCCGCCAGGTCATACAGAACATTACACAGCAAATCGACAGTCGTGTGTGTAGACGCAAATGCAAGCGAGATCATAGCGCTCACGGCATCAAAATCCTCCTCCTTACCACGCTTGGACGAGTTCTTGTAGTACCACTCTAGCGCGTCATTGAACTTGACATCAGCGCCGGCATCACGCAGCCGCCGCCGCTCCTCGATCTCGGGAACAATGAGTGTCCTGGCGACCTCGCCGTATTTTTTCAGGGCGATGATCTGGGGCAGGAAGCGGTAGAGAGCGGGCCGGAGGAACTTGGGAGTGGAGAGCAGCCCGCCGATAGCGCCGAAGATGCCTTGCGGGTATTGGGTGCAGATGTAGAGCCACTCCTTGTTCTTTGTGAATCTCTTGCCGAGGAAGACGAGGGTTGAGAGGCGCACGCCCATTTCTGCGGCGTCTTTGCCAAAGGTGTATGAGGTCCATTCTGATGAGGGGTTTAGTGCCAAGGAAGAAAGAGACACGGGTTGAGCTTACCGGTTGTCTGTGGGAAGAACTCGGTGAGGATTTCACGTGCTTCTTCTGCTAAAAGGGGTGTGGCCTCGCCTAGGATTTGGAAAAAGCGTTACGTGTTAATGACTAACAATAGCGAAAAGGTGGCATGATGAATAAGACTCACTGAGATACTGTGTCATGTTAATTCTCAGAGATTCCTGGAAGATACGGTCCTCATTGATCTTGTGCGCCCAGTCCAAGCCTGGGTATTGCCCAAATAGCCTCTATGTATGTTGATTAGATCCCGAAATATCATTATTTCTATCATGGCATGTGAATCCTGAGAGAATCGAAATAACGCAAGAAACTCAAGACGTACTCTCTCGGCGGACTTTCCGAAATCCAGGTTCGGGTGGTCCTTGATAAGCGGGACATATCTTGGGGGCAAGACGGTGATGGGCACGTAGCCAATAATCTGGAACGGTCCATTGTACTACATGAGCGCGACGCTGTTAGTCATACAAAGTGTACCTCCAAAAAAACATGGGGTGAAATGAGCCATCTCTCACCTTCTGAAGACCCTCTTTGATGAGATTCTTACAGTCCGTCACGAAACGATATTGTGCCTTAATGTTGAGAATGTCCCATTTTGGACCCCCGACGTAGGGAATACCTCGGAACGGCTGAGTGCTATAGTTGAAGTAGAAGAAGACAACCAGCGACAATACAGCGACGGTAACGGCCACGTAGGCGTTCCCTCGGGCTCGAGCAAGCAGGTCCAATGCGATCTCCATGATGGGCAATCGGACTTCGGTGCAACGTGATTTGTGTGCAAAATACCTTTCTTGCCTGCATTACGTCTATCCGTCCTAGAAGCAACGAAGCACGCTTAAAAGCTTACGATAAGGCAATGAAAATCGAGACATTGTTTGCAATGTCTTGGCGTCTTGATGGATTAGGCCGCGTTACAAATCCAACCAAAGCAGCCGATGTTACATTGTGGTCAGCATGTGTCGGGTCTTTTCTCATTGGCCTTAAGTACGACATGCATGTACGCTCGACAGATAGATACAAACGACATTTGATAAGACGCACATCACATTAGTTTAGCCGTCGGCTTCGGATGAACTGTACGAATGCAGTGTCTCACCTTTGAAATTCTCCAAATGGGGACAGGAATCTGATGACATGACTGGAAGGATCATGCACGACACGGGAGTGGCGCCGGTGCCGTACCTTGTTCGAATGAAGGATTCAAAAAGGGAGCAGTCCGTATAAAATCCCGAGACCAATGTTCAAGGGGTGGCAACCAGCCGGCCAGTGCCGTTTCTGCCGTTGGTGTGCTCATGCTTACAGCCTCCGTAATCGTGCTCCCTTATCGACGGTAAACAATGATACTTTCCAAGACTTGGGCGAGCCTTCTCGCACTACTCCCATACACGCCGACGAGCCGAATCCAACTTGTGTTGGGGGTGCTGACATTTCTGGTGGGTGGATGAATGCCAAAGTCCTTTTCCCTTATCGTTGGTGTGGCACAGTTACATCTATGGCGGTGTGGCATTGCTGACACCCTTACTCACGTAGATCGCCATACACCGGGCTGTTCTGACCATCTATCGGCTATGGTTCCATCCCCTTTCCAAATATCCAGGCCCCAAGTGGTGGGGAGCGTCGGATCTCTTCTGGCTGTGGCGGGCCAACGTCAGGGGCACCTACACTCGTGAGGCTCCGAGTCTTCAACGGAAGTACGGCAACATTGTGCGCCTCGGGCCGAACCGCCTGATGGTGGACGGCAGCATCGCCTGGACGCAGGTATTCTCCCTCAACGCCACGGTGCACGGCATGGATGAGTTCGCCAAAGTGCCGAACCAGCTGTTCCCAGGCGACTACAAGACAATTGTAGCTGCGCCGCGGGACGAGCACCGCCGTATGCGGCGCCAGCTGAACCACGCCTTCAGTGACGCTGCGCTCAAGGAGCAGGAGGGCATCATCGGTCGTTATGTCGAGAAACTAGTCAACCACCTCGAGCAAGCGTCTGGTGCCGTGGACATTGCGACCTGGCTAAACTATACCACGTTTGATATCATTGGAGATCTGACCTTCGCCGAATCATTCCACAACCTCGATGACAGCAGCTTCCACCCGTATGTTTCGGGCTTCTTCAGGGCCATCCGTGGCTTTGCGTACAGCCGAATGATCCTGGCGAAGCCGCACCTCACACCGTTCTTCCTGGTATTTGTGGGATGGCGAGAAATCTGGACCGCCATCTCGACCATGATGGAGAACATGAAGCTGGGCGACGCAAAGGTGAAAGCGCGAATGGCTATGGGCGCCGAGCCCAAAGACGGTCGGCGCGATTTCATGACGTATATGATGCGGGAGACGCGCGACGGAAAGCCTGGCTTCTCGGAGCAGGAAATCATGATGAACAGCGGGTTGCTGATCGGTGCCGGCAGCGAGACGACGGCATCGGCCGTCAGCGGCTTTTTCTTCTTTGCCGGCATGTCACCAGTGGCACTGGAACCGTTGGTTGAAGAGGTTCGGTCTGCGTACAAGACCGAATCTGACATCAACCTAGTCAACACGCAGCATCTACCATATCTGCGGGCATGTATAGATGAGACACTGCGTTGTTTTCCTACTGTCGTCGAGACGCCACCTCGCCAGTCTCCTGGAACCATGTTTGAGGGCAAATGGGTTCCTCGCGGCGTGAGTTCCTCCTAGTCGCTCTATACCATTGCCTCTACAGCTATGATGAGACTGACATGAATCATCGCTAGACGCTGCTCCATGTGAATCAAGTGGCGACCATGCGAAACAAGGGTAACTTCATTGACGCAGAGAGCTGGTGTCCGCAGCGCTGGCTCCCCAAGACGCATCCTCTGTACGATCCGAGGTTCGAAAACGACAACAAGGCGGCTTTCAAGCCCTTCAGTTACGGACCCCGAGACTGTGCCGGGAAGAATCTGGCGTACTCAGAGATGCGGCTGATGATCTGCAAAATCCTATACCGGCTGGACTTTGAGTTGGTCGAGGGCCAGGAGCAATGGTACACTGATAAGCACGTGTGGAGCGTCTGGGAAAAACAGCCTTTGAACTTAAGATTTCGGCCCAGATTAAAATGCTGAGAGTGTTAAAAGAGCACATGGCAACTGACTGGGAGATGGATCGAGGAAACAGGTGCATATATCTACCGAAATCTAATTGCAAACAGAACCGAGAAATTACCCTGCGCAGTCATGGGACTGAATAGAATGTGCTGTGTAATGTACATTCGCTCATTGCATTTCTTGCTGGAGCTAGAGACGCTTACTAGATGACTTTGATAAAAGCCAGGCACCCGGGTTTCCTGAACATAGATGTATCCATTCTAAGGTGAACAGGTCTGAAAGACACCTGACAGCAGCGGCAGCTGTTCCTCGACCTCAGCGTTCTATGGTGTCTTGTTCCCATTGCAAGCGCCCGATGAGTCTCAAAAGCCTATCGATGATACGCTGTAGGCCTCCTCCATCGTTAATGAAGGACTGGTCGCTGTCGTTGAGAGCCTGTGTAAATTGGAAGTCTTGGAGCAGACTGTGGTGGGTCACTAGACTCTTGTAAATAACCTGGGCGGCGAGAATATTTGCCTCGTCATCCTGGAGAAGAAAGCCTCCGAGTGTCATCTGCGTCCGGGTACAAGTGACAGTAGTGGTGGGTAGCTTAGGTGAAAAGAGATGGGCGCTTCCGAGGCCTGCCACGCCGTTCGTCAGTTTGTTATAAAGACCGAGGCGCAGGCAGTGGGGCGATGGAGATTAGAGTATAGACCAGAGGAAAATAGAAGCATCGACGGTAGACGCTGGACTTACGATCCGGCGATGTCTGTGAGAAGTAGTCGGTGGCTGTGTAGGCGTGAGTGGTAGCCTCGAAGAGAGATAGAAGCTTCTCTGAGGCTGTGGTCAAGGCACAGGTGACGTTGGCATTGTTGATATTGCCATTGTTGCAATGGCGACAGCGTGTGGTTTGGCGCCACTGTTCGACGACGGAGTGGTGAAGCTGCATGACGGCGTCAAATGAGACGATACCCTCCTTTGGGATTTTCTTGAGGAGCCTTGATGCCTTTCGGGCACAACTGCACTTGAATGTCGACGTCGACGTCGATACTGATGTAGACGCGATTGCTTGTGCTTGGTCCTGTTCGTACTCATGCCAGTCGCTAGACTCGTACGACGATGATATTGAGGCTTGTGATTGCGGCCCAGGGGACCCCTGGTGGTTTGGAGCAAGAAGTCAGCGACAAAGTCTGTAAGACCTCTCCGAGATGAAAGATGATAGATCGGTGTATTGTTCACCTCGGAGCTGTAGTCAAAGATGCTGCTGTGTGCCATCGGGGACGATATGTCATATGATCATGAGGGAGTCGAATTTAGTAACATTCATAGAAGAGGAAGACGAATGGAAGACGGTGACTCGGCCAATTGGCATTGCCAAAGAATCGGGAGGTAATATCAAGAAAACCCCCAAGATAAATGCTTGCGAAGTGCACAAGTTCGGACAGAGGGTGTCATCCAGTGAGCGGCATCTCATCCGGTCAGGTAACGTATCGAGAACGTCCATGGCAGCGTAGGGTGTGCGGGATGCGAAGCCTCGATGGAACCGTTGTGTTTCAGACCTTCCATCACAAAGCTAACAAAAGTTCACTAAGGTATTCCATCCTGGCAAGCACGCAAGACAACGGATAAGGTAGGCGGAACCAGGGTGGCTTCGGGATGGATGCAGGCAGCAGCCAGCCGTTTCCCTAAGGTACCTTGAGGTAAGGTAGGTAGCGCGCCGTTCCTCCTTCAGTCTCAGCGGGTCTCCCATTGGCCGCTTGGCGAGTGGACTTCCAGGTTCCCTTGCCGTCCACGATTGTCAACAAGGCAAGATACCTACCTGAGTACATATCTTACCTAGGTACACAGTAAGCACGTGTTTAAGTACCGCATCCCCTCCACTTCCTTCCCCGGGGGGTTTCCTGGGGTACCTACACTACCTTAAGGTACCTCCACCGTCCCCCACGGCCCATGAATGAAGATGTAAGGTAGGTATCTAAGGTAAAGTGCCTACCTACTTTGGGGTCCTTGAAGGCATTCAGACCCAAACGGGTAAACGAGAGGCTTGTCCTCTCTGCTTTACACCGCAGAGACGGAGTTTCAACGTTGGCCTTTCCATCCGAGATGCACCTCCTGATGCGTGTGACAGGAGGATGAGCGCCTACCGATATCAGTACGTGGTGGCGATCAGCATGTCTGGTTGGAAGGTATTGACCCGAACCCACTTGGCTGTGCCTTCCTTCCTCTTTTATATCCCGTCCTTGCCTCCAAAATGATGCCACTTTGGTAAAATAGAACCTAATTGGAACCTTCCTGAAGTGGACCACAGAACAGGGGAGATTCTAGTCGAGAAGAGGCACGGAAAGAAAACATGGAAACAGAGGAAAAGTAACGTCTACGTGATTAAAGTAAGGTACTCGAGAATCTGTCCTAGGTATGCAGAATATCAGCTAGAATAGCGCCCAATTGAGATGCTTGGATTGGGCAATGGGCAATGATAGCAAGCCCTGGCTCACATTGGTCGTTGGCCATACCGGCAATCGTAATTTGACAGCTTGACGACTGCCATTGACGGCTTACAGATGACGGAGGAATGGGTACAAACCCAATGTCACCAAAGTCTCAAACGGGTCTGGAATGACTTAGGTAAGGGTGGGACAATTATTCCCGACTGGGGGCCGTGAGGTGTGACGAGGTGTGGTGTTTTCCAAGGGTCCAATGACAAGAATGCGTTTGCGCCGCACCCTCATCATTCAAATGCAGGGCACACTGTACCGCCCATTTGAGAGCCGGCCTAATTTTGCACCGCTCTGGTCCACATTACAAATCTGGGCAAGTCGGCAAGCAAACAATCCGATTCACTCTCCATTCATTCTATCACGAGGTACGTACCTTTTGGGATATTCAGCAATTTCACAATGGCCAGATACAAGGTGGGTGCAAGTTACGGGCACGTCGACACGTCGTCTTGTCTCGTTCAAAAACTACGAAAATTACCTCTCATCTTCCTTTCTTGTGGTTTCGTACTCAACATTTCACGGCATCCATTGCACAAACAAATCGGTGTTCTGCGAGGAGGTGTAACAAACAACAACTCCGTGACTTTTCTGTTAGTTGCCCTTAAATGACAAGACTTCACGCCCACCATCGCAGCAGACAACATCACATTAGTTACCGGAGTGACAGCAACAGAAAACCGTCGCAATGGCTACCGCGACGCCAGAGAACCAGCCGCGCTCACAACCTAGCGTCGAGCTGACGGGCTCTTACGAGAGCAAGACCGAAGAAACCCTCAGCCAAAGTCACGATGCAGCCCCTGGTCTAACAGCACCGGTCGATAGCGAGAAGGGAATTGGGAGCGCCGATGGCGATGACGACAAGGCGGAAGAGGGGGACTACGCTACCGGTCTAAAGCTCTTCGTTCTCATGACTTCTCTCCTCCTATGCCAATTTCTCGTCGCCTTGGACATGGTGAGTCTACCGCTTGTCTTTTCTCCCTAATACTCCCCTCCGTGACGTTCGCGATTACTCCACCCTACTAACACCACATCCCATCACAGAGTATCATCGCCACGGCCATTCCCAAAATCACTCGCGAATTCCAAAGTCTCGACCAGGTCGGATGGTATGGCTCCGGTTTCCTCCTCACCCTCGCTGGCTTCGTCTCCCTCTGGGGCAAAGCCTTCAAGCACGCCAGCATCAAATGGGTCTTCTTGTCCGCCGTGGTCGTCTTCGAGCTTGGGAGCTTGATCTGTGGTGAGTGGACCAGCATCATACCAATTATCCAACAGTCGATTCCTCGTTCAGTGGCTGATTTGGCCTCTACATTGCAGGTGTGGCCCAGAATAGCACTACCCTCATCGTCGGTCGCGCCATCCAAGGGTTTGGAGGTGCTGGCATGACTAGCGGAGTCTACCTCATTGTCTCCGTCTCTGTCGTCCAGAAGCTTGTCCCTGCCTTCCTAGGCCTTCTTAGCGGTATTTTCAGTGTTGCTAGTGTCGTCGGCCCCCTTCTTGGTGGTGCATTCACGGACCGTCTCACTTGGCGTTGGTGGTGAGTGTCGACAGCGTGGCAGCTCCGAATTACCCTAACATCGAGGCGCACCTGTACTGATCTGACTTTTCCTCAGCTTTTACATCAACCTCATTGTCGGCGCGCCCTCCATTCTCTTCCTCGCTTTCTTCTACAAGCCTCCTGCTCACCACAAAATCGAGCCCATTGGCTGGAAGGACTTCATCTATACTTTAGACCTGCCGGGCGTCGCTGTCGTTCTCGGCGGGCTAACGTGCTTCATCCTCGCCATTGAATACGGTGGTGTCACCAAGGCCTGGAACTCGGGTACCGTTATCGGTCTGCTGGTCGCCTTCGGTGTCCTCGTCATAGTCTTCATTGTTCTTGAATGGTACCAGGGTGACCGTGCCCTGCTTGTTGGCCGTCTCATGAAGCGGAGGACGATCGCGGCCTGCGCGGTCTTCGTTTCCATGTAAGACTCCTCTCTCTTGTGCAGTATCTAGTTAACCCGTTCTCAGGATCAACTTCTCCTTCTTCCCCTTGGCCTACAATCTCCCAATCTACTTCCAGGCCGTCAATGGAGTTTCCCCCTTGCAGAGTGGTATCCGATTGCTACCAACTATTCTTCCGATGAGTAAGTCCAAGTGCTCATCATCGTCAATAACAAGAAGCTGACCACATTGTCTTCAACAGCGCTATTCAGTCTCTTCTCTGCCCCAGGTATCGTGCTGGTCGGATGGTACCAGCCGTGGCTAATGACCGGCGCATCGCTCGCCGCCATTGGGGCCGGCCTCATTTACATGCTAGACATCGACTCCACTAGCGCGCAATGGATCGGCTTCCAGTTCGTGGCCGGCGTCGGTACGGGTCTGGCGATGCAGCCGCCCGTCATCATCGCCAACGCCATCACCCCAAAGCAAGACAACAGCATGGCCATGTCGGACGTGCTCTTCTTCCAGTTTATCGGAGGCACCTTTGGCATCGGCATGGCGCAAGCCATCTTCAACAACGGCCTCATCAGCAGCTTGCCCGAGCTGGCACCGATGGTCTCTCCGGCCGAGGTCCTCAGCATTGGCGCGTACGACTTGAAGAACGTCTTGTCGGGTGATGCACTGACTGGCGTGCTGAGGGCGTACATGCGCGGTCTGCATAATGCGTGGGCCATGAGCATCGCTGGCGCCGCCGTCGCCGTGTTCTTACCCCTGCTGGGAGCCTACATGAAGCTCCCCAAGACGCCCCCCAAGAGCTGGGATGAGAAGCCGACGACCGACAAGGCTGACGCACGATCTTGATTTCTGGTTGGTGTCTGGACTTCTCGAGTCCAGAGACGAGCCCCTGGCAGCAGAATTGCCCCCCTCAAGGACCAAGACTTACACACATGGGAAGCTAACAGCGGGAGACTGGAACTCTTTGTGTGAAGATATGATCTCCTTGAAGATCCATTTTCCTTCGTGGTTCCGATAGAAATTTGAAGACAGAATTGGCGTGATGGATCGGAACAGGATTCAGGATTGCGGTGTAATGCATTCACTGTCATAGATCCCGTGCAAAAATAGACACATTTCCTGTACGCGTACGCAACTCCGAATTTTTGTGTCGACCTCTCGTGCAACTCAAGCTCAAGCATTCATATCGGCCTAGTAAATCTTATAAAAAACGCACTGCTTGCCTACGTCGAATTTGAGTTGTTGTGGGCCTGGTGAAATTATCCACATGATCGTCCGTCCGAACCACCCGTAAGTGGACGGGGTCAGGTCAAGGTTACCTACCCGCCACGTGTGGCTAGTGTGCGTTGGTGCCTGGATTGGAAAGGGCTAAGATCAAACGTCCACGGGCCACGGGAGGGAAAGCTGTGATCGTATGTAAGGTAATCATTGATGATGGGACGGTGAATGCTATAATCTGACAGAGATGCACATGAGGTACCCGGTAGGTGGCAGATTCAGCCGTTAGATTGCTCTGCCATGTGAGAAAAGTTCTGTCCAGCGAATGGAATGGAGCGCGGTCCATTCCGTTGGTTGACGGCTGCTATCGGTCCGTTCCGTTCCCGGGGCTGTGGGTACGTAACTGGCACAGGGTTGCCCAAACACCTTTTAAGGGCGGGGCACTACTTACTTTTGTACATACCTGGCAAGTGAATAACGTGATAATCTTCGACTCAACTCATATGCTTGTCTAGGTGTATCTTTACTATTATTATTGTTATCATTGTTATTACTATTGTTAATATCTCATCTCTTCATCGATTGCTTTGTATCCTGTGAATAATAAATCTTGAATACCCTAAGGTGGGTAGGGATTATATAGAAAATATGTATAATAAGAAAGATAAAACTATACCTAAGGTAGAAGGCCATATAACGTATGCTGGGACATTGCCCGGCCTGCTATTTTATTACCGCCCGCCGCCTATATGTTCGAGATAATGTGCGATACGTGAGGCTCGACCGACTCGATGTTTGATTGCGAATGGTCCCCGCTATCGAGGTTCAAATTTCGGGGGCTTCCCATCCTACCTATGCTAGCATTACCAGATTACCACGCCTAAACGGTTCGCTCGTCTTTATATCATACTTCGCTATCCTTACCTTGTTAGTCGCTTTATTTTCGTCTACGACATCCCGTCTAATAATATCTATTCTAGCTACAAAGTCAACGGTAATATCGGCAAGTTCATCTGGGTCCGGCAGTCGTCTCAGATTCGAAGGCTGCAGCAATACGAACCGCGGGATTTTCAGGCGTTTGAAACTAATTGTGAAATCAAACGCTCGTCGCGATTCTGTGTCTGGGTAATTCGGCACTTCCGTTTAGGTTTGGTCCATTACCTTAAGGTAGGCAGGCACAACCCCACCCGGCGCCGGGTGGGGGTGGGGACCGTCAGCGAACGGGCGGCCGCCGCCCAAAGTCATGCCGGGTTCCGAAAAGGAAAGTGCGAACAGAAACGGATCTTGCCTTAGTGCCCCTAAGTAACTGTGAGGGATCCATCTGGCTTGGATAGCCACGCCCCACCCCTATTCCTTTCAACCCTCCTTACCCAAGGTACTCTATATCTCTTATTACTTATTCATTGACCATATTTTCTCGCGTGGGAGCCAAGCAGGCAGAAAGCCCAGGATGGATAAGGTGCGATTGCTTACGAACTGGCTGCCTATTGGAGGATGAACGCTCCTGCAGACTACAGGGACTAATTCCTTCGAAATAACAGGCCGAGAAACAAAATAACCGATTCGTCCGTTAGCCCTCTCCGTTCAGAGCCACCTCAACACCCAAGATAATACCGCCACCACCTCTCGCAGTATCGGCAGCCCCAGAAGGCACGCTTGTAGTCACAATGGAGCAGCCGCAACGATGAGAATCCTCTGTCTTCATGGCTACGGCACGTCCGGAGCCATCCTTCGATCGCAGCTCGACGCGTTCATCCACAGGGCCGACGCCAGCTACGAGTTCGTCTTCCTCGATGGCGAGTACGAATGCCAAAGAGCCCATGGTAAATCACATCGTTTAATCTACATGTAACTCTATGCGATGCTGATGTAATTCTAGGTATTGGCAAGTTCGCACAGCCCCCTTTCCGATGCTTCAATCAATCCTTTGGCCCCCACGCCATCCAATCGTCCCTTGACCACCTCCAAGACTTCATTGACGACGAGGGTCCCTTTGATGGTCTCTTAGGCTTCAGTCAGGGCGGCTCTCTGGCCCTCGCCTACCTGCTGCAGATGGCCGAAAACATGACGGCCAACCCAGGAACCCCGCCCGCTTTCTCCTTCGCAGTCTTCCTCTCTACCATCGTCGCCTTCTCCCCGGACCCGGATTTCTGCTCTCACCTCATCACTGGCCTCACCCCTGGCGACCGCGACAACGTCCTCGCAGACTTCCCTCGCGGGGCCACCCACAATGACTACGCCTCCCTCACCGGGCCCCGAGAGCGTGCTATCTTCTTCAGCTCCCTCGGAAAGGTCCTGGAGACGTCCATCGTCGGCGGCTTCATCGCACCGGACACGCCTCTTGGCCTCGAAGCGCTGCTACAGCCGGCGTCGGCAGCCACGAACAATGACATCGACCATCTCCCGCGCATCATGCATCCTGTTATTGCTTCGCCAGGCTGCAAGGTTCCTGTACCTACCGTCCATGTCGTCGGCGCCCATGACGACCCGCTACTGGTTAGTATGTCGAAGCTGATGGAGGGGCTCTGCATGGCAACGCTGACGCGATCGCTCGTGCACGACGGCGGCCACGATGTGCCGCGTAAACCGAGGGATGTGCAGGCGTTGTGGTCCGCCATCGAGTGGGCTACACGAGAGGCGGCAAAACAGTTGTGGTAGTCTGGGTAATGGCCGCGGAAGTGCTGATGATGCTGGATTTCAGGTACGTCGGGTGGTTGAGTTCGGGTGGTTTTACTTTTGTCAAGTTGTCCTTGCGGTGCGGGGGCTAACGACATGGATCCCCCCCGACTCGACTTACGAATCGATACTCCGATTCTCGGTAGAAAACCCCCTAATTTGCATTTGAGCTTTGAGTAAGACTAGATAGATGAGGATTCAACCATGAACAGAGGTTTCTCCAATTCCTGATCTCTGTTCTAGCCCTAGCCTTTTCTTACACAATCTCTCAGCACCAAAATGGAAAAGACTGTCAGGACGACCCTGAGCGCAGCTCGTCCTTCGGACAACTGGTCTTCTAAGGGGGGGTGGTACCTCGTGTGCGCCTACTGCGCCTGGGAAACCATCGCTCTGACGCTCTCGACGCTCTACTCCTTTGCGCAGCCAGTCGTGCAGGAGAGGTACGGCGTGAGCAACGTCCAGATCGTCACGCTGGGCCAGTCCATGCAGATCATGGGCAATATGCTCGGTGTATCGCTGCTGAGCCCCCTCTCGTACGGTTTAAAACACAAATCCCCTGCATCGAGACTCTCACCTTGCTAACACGACGTGACGGCAGGGATGTCTTTGGTCGCAAGAGAGTGACGATATTTTCCATGCTGGCTTATTCCGCCCTCAATCTAGTCAGTAAACACTCACATACGCCCGCTGTTGAACCGTGTCATGGATGGAGGAGGGCCGTTTGGACCCGGGACTAACCAGGAGAGTACAGGGCACAGCATATGCACCAAACCTACCCACCCTCATTCTGTTCATGTTCCTGAGCGGCGCCTCCTGGTCAACCTCCCTCTCCCTCGTTCCCGCCGTCTTCAGCGACCTGTACCTCGACAGAGACGATATTGGCCAGCCCATTGCGCTCTTTGTCATCGGTGCCAGCGTCGGGCCTACCCTCGGCGGTGTCGTCGCCACGGCTCTCATGGACGCCAGGGCTGACCTCAAGTGGTACTTTTTGGTCACTGTCTTCATTAGTGCCGCGTGCGCTGTTCCCATGTCGTTTGTGCCCGAGTCTCTCAATGCGGCCCGGGCTGGTGATGAAGGCAAGACCACCGGTCCAGTTCCGCAGTCTAAGCTTGACGCCGGCCCAACCTCGCGTGGGAGGTGGTATTTCCTGACAAGGGTTTGGTACCTTCTCGCTACAGAGCCCATCATCTGGATCACGGGCATCTACAACGGCCTCGCCAACGGTGTCTTTGTTCTCACTGTTGGAGGCTCGATCACAACCCTAACAGAGTTCAAGGGTCTTTCGTAAGCAAATACTTCTTATTGGGTTTCTTTATCTCGTTCCCGTCATCCATGGACTTGTCTGTCATATACGGAATCACTGACCTCGCGACTCAGTCTAATGGACGCCGCCATCTCCATCATCTTCATGGCTATCGGCGTGGTACTCGTATGGTTCGTCATGCCTACACAGACCCGCCTCTACAGGGAAGAAAAAACACGACACCACGGCCGCGCCCTCCCGGAGTCGCGACTCTTGCTCGTCCAGGACGTGATCTGGATGTTCCCCGTCGCCCTAGCCTGGTCCGCTTTGACGGGCGGCGCCGCGTGGGGAAAATGGCACCAGGCCGTGACGGGCGGCGTCGTTGCGTTTACAGACTCGTTTCTGTACCAGTGTCTCTTGATTTACATTCTGGGTGAGTTACAAATACACCACATGACACCACACTCATCCTTTCTTCGAGACGCTGAAACGCTGATGCGAGAATCTGGGCAGACTTGTACCCTGGAGAGGCCGCGTCCGCTACGGCGGCATGGCTGATACCCTGTTTTCCTGTACAAGCTGCGGCTGTCCACTTTGGTGTCCCCATGTTCCAGACGCTCGGCCCTGAGTGGGCGTTTGGTCTGCTGGCTGTCTTTACGGCTGGGTTTGTGGTACCTGGGTTTTACGCGATTAAGAGGTACGGACTGGCGATGCGGGGGAGGTCCCCTGCGACCAAAAAGGGATTCCGTCTTTGACTTCTTAGCTGGTGCTTGGGTCTTGCAATGACTTTTATAACTTGACGCCTGCCAACGCAGGATAATGGCTAAGGTAGGCAATGATGAAGATGTTAATGAAGGCCCCGGAGTATTCACGACAACGTATTTGATTCGTGCTCTGAAAATCTGCTGGTCGAGGCGGATATAATATTATTTGTGTTGATGGCTTATATTTAAAACACAAAAGTCAATGTACGGGAAGCTATCGGCAAAACATTCTCTAAACGGAGTACTTGGGGGGATGTCAGTGACATCAGTATGTAAAATGGACAATAAAGTGATGGCATGAGATCCCGAATCCACCGTGTAGTGAGGGACTTCGGTGAACTATAAACCTAGTTCTATTGAATACGATGAGAAATTCACGCTCAACTCATCCATGCTTGTCCATGTTTTCCGAACTTCGCCATAACCTAATCGGGCAGAAAGCTGCTGTCTCGACCAATCAGAAGGTTTCAACGAAAAGCCACGACCCCATGGCACCCAAATACCACATTACATTTAGCCTTGCTTGACTCCAGAGAATGTTGCACTCAATCATGTAAACATGGCCAAACAAAAGCAAGAATAGGTTGATAACCTACTTTGAACACCAAAACTTGAACTTGCGGCCAGCAAGCTGACTATATTACAAGAACTGTAGGACACCTCCAGGATAATCACCCGAAGCCGACGCAATAAAAGTCCCCGAGCTGAAAATACGGACACAACATTAAAACATAAGCCCCTTCCGTGCCTGTCCAACGTCAGCAGCCCACTTTCTATATGTCATTGAGTCAACGCACGTTTTCTATCCAATGCGATCCTAGAAATGTCCGCCACCACGGAAATCAAGAGATGGGGTAAGGCGGACTTGGATGCGTTTCTCGGCAGCCTGCCCAAGGAAGTAGACACGTCGACGCAGTACCCCGGCTCGTGCCTCTGCGGCGGAGTCCGGTTCTACCTCGCGGGCGAGCCCCTCAAGAAGGTGTTTTGCTACTGCGATCATTGCCGCAAGAATTCGGGCGGGACTGGCCAGCAGGTGCGGATTTCCAGCCTCACTCCCCTTACCCCTAGCTCGCTCGCTACATGAACGATCAGTAAGGTAGCTAAATACAACCACGTCTGGCTGCAGTACATCATCTACCAGGCGGAGAATATGACGATCGACGATCCCAAGGGCTACAAAACTGTCTACACCATCCCGGGAGATACGGTAACGCTGTTCCCTAAGGAAAAGTACTTTTGCAGCCAGTGCGCGTGCACACTCATTGTGATGCCGCTCATGTTGGAGCGGAAGCTTGCCTTCGTTCCGACAGGTCTGATGAATCATGGGTAATTAAATGTTTCACAACAGTGTTCCTTTTTCTTTTTGGCTTTAGGCACCGAGAGATTTTTACTAACTAGTTGATCGAACAGCCTGGACTACTTCAAGCCTGACTTTGAGTATTTTGCGGATAAGCGTCCGGCATTTTTGGCCCCGATTCCTGGCGCTGGATCGTACAAGGTGCAGGCGGGGGAGCATGTGCCTTTGGACGATACGTCGGTGCCGTCATCCGAATAGAGGTTGTCTGGTGATACCGTGGTGGCGAGGAAAACGTTGTATTATATCAAGGTTCCTGACCTGTCATTCCTGTCAATTGGATGGCATCTTATGGTGTTGGCATTTTTTTGTTGCCAAGCTTACTATGTTGCTCGATCATGACTATTGATAACGAGCAGTGCCAATGTTTAGCAGTGCGGACAACTTGACATCGATGTTAGTAAATCTGCAGCAAGTGATTTAGCATAAAGAATTATAATTGGAGTAACATGAAGCAAAGATGATTATCGAGATCGGGCGAGACACACAGCAAGTTGTCGGCGGGGATCCGTGGATTTCTTTATTCACAACGATAAACCCGACTCCAGCAACTTTTGAGGGTCCGTAGCCTTCTAAAATTGTACCATGTACAATTCAATCTACGCACTAGTCCCAATTACCATAACCCTGACGCCTTGCGTCCCCTCCTTTGGGATAGGCACGAAATAATCGGCCGCCATGTCAACAGCATCCCTGCCAGTCTCGTAGAGCTCGATCTCCAGCCTCCGAAACACCGTTGCCAGCCCGATATATAGCTCCGCCATGGCGAAGTTCATCCCTAGGCACATTCGTGGCCCCTTGCCGAAGGGCACCAGGTACCGCGACAATGGCTTACCGGAAGCCGTCTTGTGGTTTTCCAACCACCTCTCGGGGCGAAAGACATCGGGTTCGGGAAATATTTCGGGATCACGGTGTTGTATATACGAGGTCATGCTGAAAGGCACATTGGGTGGTATCACGTATGACTCGTAGGTGATGGGGTCGTCAGGGCTGAGGCGGGAGAGGCGCTGAGTGATGCCGAACGCGAGTCGCAACGCTACCGAAACACAAAGACTCAGCTTCCAATCTCCTCATCAAGGCTTATAAAGAAGCAGTGCCACGCTTCAGGGAAAGTTGTAGATACTCACATTCCTGAACGACTGCGTTGAGAAAAGGAAGGCTCTCCAGTTCATGGAGGGGCGGCATGGCCTCATTGGCGTGAGGGATTCGAGTCTTCAATTCTTCGCGCAGTCTCTTCAAGACGCTAGAATTGTCGAGTATATGAAACGTCGCGAGCGCCAATGTCGTCTTGGTCGTGTCAATGCCCGCGCCTGTGATACTAGCCGCTTCGTGCTTCAGGCGCTCAACCGACAGCTCCTCAGGCGGCAGATTTGACTGCAGGAGTTCGTGGAACACGGTACGATGCTGGACACCTTTGTTCGAGGTGTTCTGGCCTGAAATGATCTTGATGATTTGGTCTTTAACTTCCTGGCGTTGAGAGCTCACTGGTCAGAGAGATTGAATCATACTACACCCAAGTGACACCGTACTCACATTGTGAAACCGGAAGACGGGGACCAACAACGGGTTCAAAATTTGTGTGACTGACTCCGGGAGCGTTTGGAGCAGCGTTAGGAGCCAGGGAAAATGGCCTGCCATGTGGAGAGACATGGCTAGCTTCCTGATTGAGGTTGTGAACGGCGTGACAAAATCAGGATAGTCTATGAAATTGTACGAGATGGCAAACGTGTAGTAATTGATTGCATCCGACACGAAAGCCGCGTACGCCTCGTTCATATTGACGGGCTTCACTTTATCGCTATAATCGGTCACCAAACGGTCTACCATCTTGTCAGCCATGGACTGCATCTGCGGGCTGAACCCCGCCACCTTTTGCTTCGCAAAGAAGGGCGAGACAGCGGAGCGGCGGAGGTGGTGGTGGGTATGGTCGATGGTGTCGAAAGAGGATAAAGGCAGCCCAAACCGGTATCGGAGCTTCTCGATCTTGCTGTACCGGGTTTTGTTGTTGAAGAGGACCTCGTAAAAGTCGGGGTCGGCGATGTGAACTTCCCAAGGCGTGATTCGGATGATTGGACCTGCTCGTAGAGTCAGTTTCTCGAGTCTCAATTTCCCTTTTTCCCGTGAACAAGATGGACTACCGTATTGTCGATGCCATTCTTCGATCTGGAATGTGAATTGCCCTCCTTTGAACACGTCCAAGTACGTCTCGTACCAGCCGGTTGCTGCAGTCAGCCTGGACCCCGGGATATTCGCAATCGGGCTGAAATAAAGTCGATATATGACAAGGCTACTTCCGTAACCTAAATAACCTAGCACTAGGGATAGGATGATAGATTGAGGGCTGAGGATACCATTCGCATCAGTGTTTTCGGCATCCATTGTGCAATGTCAAAGGGGATTTCCCTCAATCTGGTTGATGTCGTAGTCCAGTCGAAGGGGCTTTGGCCGAAAACACGCTATCCAAAATTTGGACACGATGAAGTGATTTCTGGTCTAGTACCTAATGTTCTTCTGCATGATATTGTTTATCTTGGTGAACAGGGACCGGGGACTTTCCGTGAAGCTGACATGTCGGGCATTTCTAAGATGCAACACCGGGCCAGTCAGCGATGGGAGTCCCTAGATGTACACTAAGTACATCGGAATCTTTGTCAACGTCCGCTTCAATTTGTGATCGTTTTGAATTCAAACCAGCAAGAAAAGGGGCACAAGGCGCCTTCAGTCGAAGATTCAGCCAGAACGTACAGAGCTATCGCACCTTTCGACCAATTCCCAACACCAGCCTTTTTCTGTTGCCCTTCACAGCCCTCCAGTCAGAATGACGAATATCCAGTGGTACCTCCATCCCTGGTCACTCTTGGTCTACCAAACTAGTCTGATCGTCTTCGCCGTGGGCTTCACGCGTCGGGGATCTTTGATTCGACTCGCCCTATGGCCACTCGCTCTGTTGACGGTGTTTCGCTTTGTCGCCACAGCTCATGTCCTGAACAATGGCTTTCACATGAGCTTTGGCGCCTCAGACGCCTGGCTGACCTTTCTTCAATACTGGGATGTCGCACTTCTGAACAACTGGGACTTTGAATACGGCGGCCCACAGCCCAAGGCCACGGAAAAGAGGGAAACAAAGCCATGGCGTGAGCGAGCGACTTTTTGGAACCGCTTAGGCTTCGGAGTCTACGCCGCCTCTTCCTACCGCTGCAGCGGGACCCCCTTTGAGGTGCCGAATCTCGGACCTTTTGACAAGAAGGACCCCAAATACGTGCCGTCGAAGGCCAAGTACATCCGCAACGCCGCCATCAGGGTGGTGGTTGTCTATCTGATCCTGGATGCCATGACTTCGTTCAATGATCCGGCAGCCATGCAATCCGTCTTCGCTGATGAAAAGATTCCATTGCTGCGGCGGCTGTCACAGCTGACACTAGAGGAAGCTATCATGCGGACCTTTACCTCGTTCTCGTTTTGGCTCGTCAACTACCTGGTTCTTATCCTCTTCTTCGACATCCCGGGCATCATCTGTGTCGCGACTGGCCTGTCTGGCGTCGAGTGGTGGCGACCGCCGTTCAACTCCATCTTCGAGGCCTTCACACTGCGCCGTTACTGGGGGTAAGTTGCTTTTCCCCCTTCCAAATTGGCATCATGTCCCTTCCGAGAGAAGTATCACTAATATTAGCCTCAGTATCTTCTGGCACCAGTCCGTTCGAAAGCGCATCAACTCTCCAGCCAACTGGATTGCCAAAGACGTCCTTCGCTTGCCGCGGGGAACCCTCCTCGCACGCTACGCTGTCGTCATCCTTACCTTCACCATGTCTACCTTCCAGCATGCCACGGGTGACATAGCCTCGGGTATTCCAATCTCTCGCACCGGGTCACCTTGGTTCTTCCTCGTACAGGTTCTCGGCTTCGTCCTCGAGGACGTCTTCCAGTACGTTTGGAAGCAGGTGGCGCCGGATTCGGCTCGCGACACGTGGTTCACCAAGGTGTTTGGTTACGTCTGGGTTTTTGCGTGGATGTTTTGGTGTACACCATTCTACGCATATCCGGTTTCGGCAAATAATCGGGGAGAGCAGGACGCGATTCTTCCTTTCAGCGTTCTGAAGGCCGTTTCAGGCCAGTAGACTGAGCCTTGGGGTCGAAGAGACACGAAGCTTCCATCATGAGCTTTGATAAGCGGGCCGTGTGCCAAAGAAGAGATGTGAATATGAGCATTACCTTCAGATCTCCTCAACCCCTGGTCCTTTCTTGTTCTCCTCGAACGTTACATTTGTGCTTAGCAGCAGGGTGTGGGAAGCATGACGACAAAACCATCCGTATTGAGGCCGATTTTCGGAAATAGTGTAGGATGGATTGATTCGAATGCATGTTTTGAATTTTGTTTATAGTTATGAGCTAGAGAGATGGAGTTATCATAAGTTGTCAAGTGCAGTAAGAAAGCTATTCAATCGACTGTAAGTAACAAGAAGATCAATACATACCGGCCCTGTCAGTGACAAGCAGTCTAAGAAGAAAGATTTCTAGAGTCGATGGGCTGGGCCTTTATAGCTTGATTGCCGGCGCTCGTTTGGAAAATGCGGTGGCGTCGCCGGTTATGTAACTTTGCTAATTTGTATGATTACGAAAAGGGGACTTGATCGGAACAAGACTCCGATGATTGCATCTAGAAACACCTTGACACAGATAATACAACATAACATTGAGATGATGATCGGAAGATCTCCTGATTAACCTCATTGCGTAGTATACAACTACTGCAAGTCTACTTTATTCCTTGAGATAGCTGGATGTGAAACCAGACACAAAGCCATCACAGTTTTTTAAGTCTTTGCCAAGTGCTTGATACCACCTTAGCTCATGTTTCATGTTCCTGATGAATCCCTTGCTAACTTATGCGTACTACATGAAGATGGCGATGACCATATCTAACATAGCGCACTGGAGGAATCATTGAGAAAGAAAGTATCCCACTAATTGCTTGCTGACGACAGTTCATTCGACTCCACAATCTCTCGGAGTCTGCGCTGTTTCGAAATGATTTATGGGTACTTGTATAGATGAATGGTAAGAATGACTAGATCAGTATGTAATTCGTTATCATCCCTTATGAAAGTCAAGTACATATAGCCATGTTACAGCTATGAAGAAGTTGATGGATCAACCTACGCAAAGCTTTGCAACTCGATGCCGTAACGGTGAATGCCGAACGAAAAAGACGAGCAGGGGAAGTTATACGCCCAGAAATTAGCCCTTGACTGTTATTCCACGTCAAAGCAATTTGATTGACGAGTTTCGATTCTGGTAAATTCTCGGACCAAACATTCCTTCCTGCTGGTCGGGGGTTTCTTTGGCGCTCGCTCTTAGTGTCTCGGGGGATTTCACTTTTCCAAAAAAAAAAAAAAAAAAAAAAAGCCGCCTGTAAGCATAACCCATGTGTACGACCGACACTTTCAGGATTGGTAAGCTTCTCAGCCACAATATGGAAATGTTTTGCTTTGCCCAAGTACGGTACCCAGGTACATGAACTTGATTTCTGCTATCCAAAAGCCCTCAGAACGCGGGACTAATAGAACACTTCCTCCGCACCTTGGCCGAGGATACTTTCATCCTTGATTTTAGACTGGATAGACCGCAAGACCTGATTCTACTCGCGCGGCTTGTATACTCCCCTTGAGACACACGCACTCTCTACGTTGTATCCGAGCGCAAGTGAAAGCCACGACGCAGACCTTTACAAGATCCGCAGATGGCGCAGAACAACATCGTAGCCAGGGTTGATGGTGCGGACGCGTTGGAGCCAATTGCCATCATCGGCATGGCTTGTCGTTTTCCTGGAAGTATTTCTACGCCAGAAAGCTTTTGGGAACTTCTCAACAACGCCAGAAAGGGTCACGGTGAGGTTCCTGAAAACCGTTTCAATGCTGAAGCGTGGCGACATCCCAGTCACGAGAGAAAAGGAGCTGTAAGTAGAAGAAACGGATCACTTTTCGCGTCTTGTCTTTACAAACTTGCGGTCATTGACTGGGTGAACCTGTAGGTCCAACCTGGTAGCGGTTTCTTTCTCGACGAGGACCCAGCAGTTCTTGATGCTCCGTTCTTCTCTATTACCGCCAAGGAAGCCGCCGGCATGGTAGATGCCCTCCTTTCTACACACTAAGTCGAATTATTATCTGACAAGGTGTCTAAGGACCCAATGCAAAGAAAACTGCTGGAAGTGGCCTACGAAGGGTTCGAAAACGGTGCGCATTGTTCTAGAGAGACAGATACAGACATGGGTACAGTTGCTGACATCGCGTTCTAGCCGGCATTCCCATGGAGAAACTGGCCGGCAGCGACACATCAGTTTACATTGGCGTTATGACAAACGACTATGAACTGGTCTCCCAAACTGACATCTACAACCTTCCGCAGAATGCTGCTTCAGGAACCAGCCGGGCTATGCTGGCAAACCGTATCTCATGGTTTTTTGATCTGCATGGCGCTAGTCTGGCGTTAGACACTGCTTGTTCATCCAGTTTATACGCGTTCCATTTGGCTTGCCAATCTCTCAGGACGGGAGAGTCGAGACAGGTATGGTCAAGACCAATCTAGTTCCCAGGACCAGTCAACAGACAACCGGCACGATATTTTATATTGGTGAATGACCTGTTGACATATTGATAGGCGCTGGTCGGTGGTGCCAATATGATTCTTCATCCAAACTTCATCTCTCAGCTATCTGCAATGCACATGCTGAGCCCTGACGGTATCAGCCACTCGTTTGATGCCAGGGCGAACGGCTACGCACGAGGCGAAGCCATCACCACCGTCGTCGTCAAGCGTCTAGAGGATGCTCTTGCCGACGGCGACACTATTCGAGCTGTGGTCAGGGGCACTGGTGTCAACCAGGATGGTCACACACCTGGGATCACGATGCCCAGCAGCGACGCGCAGGCCGCGCTGATACGGTCTACATATGCTGCCGCAGGGCTCTCGTATGACGACACGGGCTACTTTGAGGCCCATGGCACAGGAACACCCCTTGGAGTTTGTTCATCCCCATCTTTTCTTGATCGCATCTCAGGGTTCGGGAAGACCAGTACTTACGAGTTATCTGCAACTAGGACCCTCTGGAGTTAGGCGCCGTTGGAGTTGTTTTTGGCCCCTCGAGAAGAGGAACTCAGACTCCCCTATACGTAGGCAGTGTTAAGACCAACATCGGCCACACCGAAGGCAGTGCCGGCCTAGCTGGTGTTGTGAAGGCGGTCCTGGCCGTGGAAAAGGGGTATATACCTGCCAACGCCGGTTTCGAGACATTAAACCCGAAGCTCCGACTCGATGAATGGGGTCTCGCCTTGCCGCTCGAGACGATGCCATGGCCAGTCTCGGGCCTCCGCCGGGCGAGCATC